GACTTTGTAAAGGGATCTGGAGCGCTCCTCCACTTCACGCGCGAGTTATCCCATCTTGCGTCATCTCAGCTAAGTTGCCTGCGGTGTCTAAAATGCGGTATTTAAGAGGCCTAGACATAGTTTTGTATTTATTTTTATTTGTTTATTTTTATTTATTTATTTTTATTGTATTTTATTTTTATCTTTGCGCAGCAATGAGACTTGAAAAGTTCCGCCGGACCGGAGCGATGACAGCGTCGGCCCCCAATTCTTTTCGTCATTCCAGTTGAGCCCCGCTTGCGAAAATTCAACAGTGTCGACTTCTTCTGATGCTACTAACGTAAAACCACCAGAGATGAACTGTTCGCTGTCTGGTAAAGGGCTATCACTTTTCCTCACTAGCTCAAAAAAGATGCCGCGACAGTCCCTATCGTCCCATCCACCCCCCATCGACACAGATGATTTCCCCAGATACGTAACTGCTGGCTTCACTGGCCAAAAACACCACCACACCCTTGAAATCATCAGGAATGCCCCACCTTCCCGCAGGAATCCGAGCAAGGATGGCACTGTTCCTCTCTGGATTATCCATCAATTCAGTGTTCATGTCCGTATTGATATATCCAGGTGCAATGGCGTTGACTGAAATGCCCTTAGACATCCATTCGTTCGACAGGGCCTTGGTTAGCTGGGCTACCCCACCCTTTGATGCTGCGTATGCTGGTACCGTGATGCCACCTTGGAACGAGAGAAGGGATGCCACATTGATGATGGTCCCTCTCCGCCCAGACTGGAAACTGGCAGCATCACGAGACAGAATATACGCACCAAATTCTCGACATAGCGTAAAAACAGACGTTAAGTTAACTTGGAGAACCTAGAAACAAAAAAATTAGCCTCAGGTCTTGGGAACAAAAGTGTCCTAACAGAAAAAGACGCGACAGTATTAGACGACGGCAGGGTATTTTGTAACGTCCGATGCGGGAATCGTGCGATGGTAGGCTATTTTGCAACATATGATACGATGTCCACAAAATTCAGATACTTCATCAGATCACCATCCCGGAGTACATAAATGTACCCGGGCAAGAGATAGGGACATCTTGACAACGTGAAATGACAAATAGAGCAGAAGCAATCGGGTCCAGAGAAATGACATTGAACTCACCTCATCCCAATCGTCATCAGGAAAGCTCTCACTCGGGTGCCGTCTCTGCACCCCAGCACAGTTCAACAGAATATCCATCCCTCTACCTGACCTGGCGATCGTGGGAATTATTCTCTTCACAGACTCCTGGTTGGCAAGGTCGGAAACATGGATTGTTGCCGTTCTTCCTGTCCGACTAATTATCTCATCGCGAGTGCTGGTGTTTTTCTCATCTCTCTAAAATTGTGAGATAAGGTTGTCGATGTAAGTTAGCGGGAGCTTTAACTCTAGATGTTTACTCGCTGTATTCTCTTGAACAAGAGCTAAGTAAGTGGTACGAGAGAGGAGAGGGGGCTCGGGGGGCAAGGTGCAGCTGCAGCTGCAGCTACTCAATGAACTTTTTCAGTTGGTGGGTTCTCTTCTCTCTATCTTCCTCTGATATGAAAACACAATCTTCCAAGAGCCCATGCTTGTCTTGGAAGAGAACGTGACGTGGAAAAAAAGGAGGGATAAGAAGAAAGGACAAAATCGCAACGAGCATTTTTGGTGCCCTATTTTTTCTTCCCGTAGTGTTCTTTTTTATGTGTCTTTCTTTCTTTTTTTCTCCTGGCAAGCTGCCTGAAGTGTGGAAGACAATCTCAATTCGTGCCAAATGTGTATAGCCATCAGGAGTCAAGTGACTAGGCACCTCATCCATCCGAAGACCATTTTCAATGGCGAGCAACAGCCGGTAAGGGCCATCTCATCATCTATCTATCCTCACCGGAATAGTAGAAGAATGGGATATAATACCAAAGCAAACTTCATGAGGGGATGGATAAAAATGCAAAAGGCGATCGATGCTCATCATTTTGTAAGGGCAATCTGAATTATCATCCTGATTGACAATAAATAGTACAGTACTTTCTCAACCGAAGCCAGTTGCATTTCGGTTACCTGAGGAGACCACAAGAATTACAAGCCATTTGTGAAAAATATAGTGAGCAGCATTCCCATTGTAGAAAAAAGGGAACTGTAAATGATAGTGAGAAAGAAAAAAAAAAAGTAAAGAAAAAAAGAAAGTAATTAAGGACACAAATAATAAAATCGCCGTCACGCTCACCTGGACAAGAATAATATCTGCCCCAGCTTCCGCCAACGCAATGGCCATTGCGCATCCAAGACCACGGGTACCACCAGTCACCACGGCTGTCTTCCCGGCAAGCGAGAAAAGCGAGAGAACAGTGCTCGCTGAGGGGAGACAAGGAGCTGTTTCTGACGGCTGTAGGGCTGGTTCCGAGGAGGAGAGTCCCATGATTGCCTGTCAACGATACTGAGTCTTTTGATGATGAAAGGAACGCTCGATGAGATAGCTTGGTTTTGAATATGGGCAGTATGGAGGAGACCTTCTGAGGAGATGAGAGGTACTCTGAGGAATGGGATCAGTGCAATAAATAAAAATTTGCGTTGTTTTCCCTCCCACAGAGCTGGAACGTGGATTTGAGCGCTGATTTTTGAGGGTTTGGGATGTTATAACAAAATGATGCTTACGGATATTGCTGTCACCTCGGGATTTGCTTCGGCCGGGGTTTTTGTTTGTCGGGCTTGAGCATCTTTTGAGCTAGTGAGTTGAAGGAGCAAAGCAGGATATTTATGAGCTTTCCCGTATAAGCAGAAATCTACTGTTTCACAACGTCAAGTAATTGCTGGAAGTTGGAGTGTGACACTGGAAAAGTTTGCAAGGCTGGCGTAAAGTTTGATTGTATCCAGTGAAAAAGGCTTATTAAATAAACTATATTTCAACTTCTACGGCGGCAATCCTTTACCCTCTTTTGTTGAGATCAATTCAAATCATCGAACTTCGATCTTTTGGAAATAAATGCCGATGAAATGACGGGGGAAGACGTGAAAAATCAGCGTAGACGACTTGACGTATTTTGAAGCAACTGTTGATTGAACAATTCTACCAGCCTAGCTAAGTGAGCAAAGTAATGATGAATTGGCAAGTAATGCATAACAGTTCTACTCCGTAGCGCTCATAACATTCCTGAGGTAGCTTTTTCATCGCTTACTTGGGAACTAAGAGAGTGGCCTAAATGTAAATCTCCATGTTACAGGTAGAGGAATTCTGGGGAATCCACATTCATTATCTTTTTTGAGGGGATTTCTAGCCCAATATCATAGTTGACTGACCCACCTCGCCGACATGGCCTATTGCCAATTTCAAGGCTGGACGGGTAGGGATTAAAGAGGGCAGAAGCACTTAGCCGCGAATTCGGTTTTTGGCGAGCATCTAAATAACTGGAGTTCAAACGTCATTTAACCTTGCCAGGAACAATTTCTTTCTGCAAGTTTGTTTTGATAATAATATCCAGTTGAATTTCTATCTTTCTGAGAATGCTGGGTCAAAATACGATGGCATTTGGAATATTCTGAGAGAATGACGTCGTGGGGAATCACTTTCATCGACATTTGAGCCTCTTGAATGATTCAGCCATGGTCGTTGGCATCCCATCTTCTCGTTGATAGAGCCTCTTTAGAAACAGAAGTGTGCTAGAGAGTTTCCATGCATGAATCTCGCAAGCTTATCGCCGACAGGCGGATGACTTTGCAAGATATTGCTTGGTCAAGCAGTCTACCATGGTGGGACTGGCCACCAACTTAAGACTGGGATTTGGTCAATATTGTGGCAGGCTCTTGAAGCTTGAGATACGAAGATGCGGACCCATCAGGACAAGAATGGATCTCAAAAGGGCATCGAACGCTTTCTAATTTAGCCTGTGATGTGGGGAAGAAAGGCGTTTGCTATCGTTAGTCTGGATATGATCGAACCGAAGTGCTTGAATAAGAGGCACTGGCGGTTTTCAAAGTTGGAGCTTCGATAGTATGGCATGTGGCCACATAAAACAAGTGCTAGATGGGCGGGCCAAGGCAATAATAGGCATGGCTAGACTCGTGTCAGGATTCTCAGCAAGGCTGAAATGATAGGCGGATTCAACTAGTTGAGCGCCTCCGCTGAGTTCGAGACTATACAACTTGTTTGAACAGCCAAACAGGCCACCGCAATGAGCACATTTTTTCAAAGGAAGACCTATTTCAATATTTCTTGGTGTAAGCATACCAAACAGAATAGTTATGAATGGTTACCACGATTTTTCCCTTCTGATGCTAAATGCATTTTCAATTAGATGGTGCTAGTTCACTGATATTTGCAATTATCAAACCCGGAGCCAGATTCAAGGCAGCTAGGAGACATACTAATTGAAATCTCAGGGAATCGACCATGATCCAATTCTCTTTTGCTCAAGCTTCGTCTTGAATGCAATGTCAATCCTTCACTCCGTTTGGAAGCGTACAGTTGAATCGATGACGTTGAAGAAGCCAAAAAGAAGTTCCCCACCGACTTTTTGCTGTGCATATATGCGACAGAAACATGAAGAATCAAAGAAATAACAAAGAAGAACAAGCTCTACGTCATTAGCCGGAGCGGTGAGCCTTTCTATCCTTCGCATTCCCTAGCCTATTCCGCCTCCACACGTACAGTACGCATGAGCATGCACATGCACACAGACAGGCGTACGTCAATTTATATAGCTACATCCCGCATCCTCTTAAGTTTCCCGTTTTACATTATCTATCTATTCACTTGCATAATTCTAACAAAATTTTAAGTTGTCGCCTAGAATGGTATTTCTCCTGGATATTTTCCACGCTTTACCTCTGGTATGTCGATGCTGCAGACCAACTCGGACAACGATGTCGGTGCTAAAATAAATCAGAAAGTCGGAGAAAGGTGGAACAAGCCTACCACCCACCTGCCATCTTCAAAGAAGCGAACACTACAGCAATCACAACCTACGGGACTAGCTTTAAGCAAGGATAATGGATGCGTCTTTGATTCCAACACGGCTCCTTACAGAAATGAATGAGAGAAGGAAATTTATGAATGTACACAAAAGGGGGGAAGTCCTTCCACTAAAAACATTAACTATCCGCCGGAATAAGTGATACACCTTAAAAAATAAAAATAAAATAAAAAAGAAAAAAAAAAGGGGGCAAGAACCCAAAAATAAAACAACAAGCGCGCGGCCTGTCGGGCTGAACCTTCATGCCCTGTTTGTTGTCTGTTGTTTCCTGCACATGCGCGATTAGTTGGCTCGGATGTTGGTGTTTGACAGATCTGCTTTCTTCTCTATGTCTTAACCTCCATGGGATTGATGAGGTTCCCAAAGACGGCTAGGCACCTGCAGAGAATTCTCTTTCCATTCCATCGTTAACAGTGGTTTGGGTACGGGAGGGGCTTGCAATTAGTGTGCGAGTGGGTGTGGGAGACAATCGGATGTTCACAGTTGCAAGTTCGAGAATTGTGCTGCCAAACGGAGCAGGATAGGAGAATATACCTACCCTCCACGCCTGAGCTGAGGTACCTGCATAGATAGGGAGAATGTACTTTCACATACAGTATAAGCGAAGTGTTGAGTCCAGTATATTTTCCGCAAGACGCACAGTTGATTAAGATGATAGCTGATGTTTGATATAGATGTACAGATTACAGAGGTCTACTATCGACACCATTTTACGATGACCCATAATAGCTCATTTGCAGAACTCGCCTTCAGATTCAGTCCCGTCCAACTCAACTCGACTGAAATCACCAACCCCAGGATATCCTTAATTAACTATAACTATGACCATGATATTCATTAGCTAATCACCCGTGAAGCCCTCCCTCTCGGCAAATGAGGCCATCAAATCACAAGATGTTATCAATATCTCATCGTCGGCCTTTGAAAAGCCTTCTCCGCTCGCCATTGCTCGCGGACTATGAAATGTCGGTTATTGAAGTCCTTCAGATTCGCTTCACCTTTTAGGACGACGAAGACGACGGCCACCGCACCCTCATTGCCATCATCACCAGATCCGAATCTCTCCATTCATTTCTCTTCGTTTGCTATTTATACTCCGCTTCCAAATCCCGGACCACTTTTGCCTGGCTTCTATTTATGCAATACTCCATTTGTGTTATTACATGCAAAATCTGCATGTAAATATCAATGTCCTTTGGTCTGAATCATAATCTATGCGTGTTTGTATGTTATTGTATATACACATCTACATACCAGTTTTATGAGACTGTTGGCGGGCTAAGGAATGAGGCATATGTGCCTGAATTCACCTTCATACGGCAACACCTACAAACGCTGACAACGGGCCGGGCAAACGAAAGCTTTTCTTTTCTTTTCTTTTCTTTTTTTTTTTTTTTTTTTTTTTTTTTTTTTTTTTTTTTCGTATTGTCATTTGTCATATCTGTTTGTTTGCTATATCAAGTTGGCGCGGGTGGGTAGCTGGAATGGGACATATATCATTTCTTTCAGTGGTATATTGTGCCCTGCAACTGGTCTTTTAAGTCTACCTCGGGAAGCAAGGGGCGCGGGTTTTTTAGCGCTCAGGATGCACAGGTTGTTGATCTAGTTCAAACTGTTTGTGGTGATGGACTGTACAGGACCTGAAATTAGGATGGCTGACAAGGCAAAAAAAAAAACAATCAACATTGGAAAATGCATGTTGTGACTGGGCTGTAACATGGGGAGCCCTCATCGCTTTTGGTAGCCTCGTTTGGCTGACAATAGAAAGAAGCTCTTTTAACTAACTAGTTAAGTTCACTAGTTAAGTTCACTAGTTAGTTAATAAATATGTATCTACTCCGTATATGCTCTAAAATATGGGATTTATATCCACATTCCACTTTGAGTACTGATTTGGTATATCCTTTTTTTTTTTTTTTGATATTTTTTCTTTTTTCTTTCTTTCTTTCTTTCTTTCTTTCCTTCTTGTTCTTTTTTTGGCCCCCATACTTTTCTATATTTGTGGCCGTATTCTGTGTGGATGGGTTAGAAAAATGTCATGATTTTGAGGCTCAGTTCGTTCTTTCGTCAACTAAGTTTTAGGATGAAAGATCTAACTACATGCTTACATAGCTTCAAATTGCGGAGTGAGAAATAGCGTCGCTGCCGTTGGCTAAACAGGCAACCCACCCTTCTACATCTTTGACGTGACTATGGATGTCTGTTCCATGCCGCCGCTGCTGCTCCCGCTGACATTTCTTTTGCACATTTTCACCGAGCCGCCAACTGTTCAGGCCTTTTTAGATCTGTGTGTGATCCAATCCAACCACAAGCAGTGGAACCTACCTCTGTCTATTCACCTTGTAGGTCCCAGGATGCAACCGCATATACGTATATAGATAGATCTGCAACCGGCAACAAGAAGCAAATTTTCAAAAACAAAGAATTCTTCAGGATCTTTCACGTGCGTGGGGGTTTGGGAGTTCTTGTAAGCAGAATGGTTGGGCTCGTGTGACTGGTCTGGACTGTTACCTTTTGTGCTGCATCGCATATCACACTACAGATGTACTGTGGGCTGAAGAAGACGCGGAATCGTCAAGAAAAATGCACGGGGGATCAGTATGGTACGGAAAGGATGGGCGATTCATCACTGTGCATTCCCAAAGGGGGGGGGGGGGGGGGAAGGGAGGGTAAATAAATGCCTGTGTTGGGCTGCCCTGCCCTATCTCGACTTGTACAGTATGTGCACAAGCAACGGTTGGGGAGAGTTTAGCGGTTGGTGATGGGAGGCACAGAGGCTCCTATTAGGTTTCTGGGAGCACGTTAAACAGCCGCCAAGTGTAACAAACATCTGGGTTGGAGTGTAGCAGGGATGAAGTTGTATTAGAGAATGGAGTACGGGCTGTACGCAACAGGGATTATGAGAGAAGGAAGGGATAAATTCGAATCGGATGAGCACACACAAGTAGCTGATCCCTATCCCTATCCCTATTTCCTGCTGATAACCCATTGTCATTTTGATTTATTTTTTGGATTTGCTTTTAAAAGGTGCTTCAATATCGTGGCGCCAGCACACTGGACTTTGTCAGAAAAAGTGAAAATAATCCTTGTCCACTTAAAAATAAAAAATAAAAAAAGGACTCGAACGCAAAATGTACAGGTACATGTACGGAGGTAACCTACCGTGGATGCGTAGATTTCTGGCTTCCAACATTGGTCCAAATCTGCAAAAGTCGAACCGTGGCTGGATTATTTTCATAGCGACTTGACCCTGGGAGGAGCGCTTTCAACTCCTGCGTTTGCCAAACGGGCTGAGATGTTGCAGTGAAATCTAATATTATTCTCCTTTCCATGGAAACTGTGGAGTTTGGGGGCGTGTCCTGCATGTGGTGCATTGACCTCGGAATGGATGCATCAGATGTGCTGTTCAACGGGCCTGTTCGCTGTATTGTTGGATACAAAAAGCGCTCAAACTCGCGATACTATTGGCAAGCGAGCAGCAGGGTATTGCTAGACAAACGGCAGTCATTGGTCGGCAGCGATGACATGAACCGTTGGCATCATTAGCATATTGTCAACAGATAATCGTTCCCTTGCACACCACATCTGTTGTGGACTTCCATCCGGAGCTTGCCCTCCACTCGCTTGCGATACACGAGTATCGTGAGAATCCCGAGGAATGGCAGCACGGTATAACCGTACATAGATGACCCGTTTTCTCAGTGCGCTTGAAGAAAAGCTCTGGACTGGAGCTATCCCTTTTCTCATTTTTATTCATCAGCCCCTCTTTCTGATAGAATTTTCCTTGGATAGCAAGGGCCTATGGTGATCCGGGAAAGGCGCACTCCAAAGGAACATGGCGAGGGGCGTGCACGCTCGCTAATTCGCCGTTATCCATCCTTGGCTTGTGATTGAATTGAAGTCCTTGGACATAACGAAGTAGCTAATTCTGAAAAATAAGCCAGCCATAAGAACCTTGTTCATTGCAAACCAGACGATTGAAAGAAGTTTAAAAAGGGCATTAAATTCAGTTCAGGCGCAGCCACAGGGCCTTCGGAGTCCCTATCTGGCATCAGTCAGGACGTCCTGCCTCTGGCTTATCCGATCGAGATCTGGACTTCCTTTTCGTTTCCCTTTTCGTTTCCCTTTTCAACGCTCGGAGAGTGGTTGGCGGACAACACACCCGTCCTGCCAATACTCTACCATCATTATTTTTCGGCTCGATTTTCGACTGAAGTTTTCGCAGGGAAAAGGAACGGCACACCGGCAGGCCAGTGCAACACAGGAGAGTTGGCTGGGTTCCCCATCGACGCCATTATTCAGCAATCTTTTTGGGTCCGCTGACTACGGGTAGTTGCTGGTGGCTTGTTGGGTAGGTAGGCCCTTGGGTCTTGATGAAGGGATGGCGGCAGTTGGTTGTGGTAGCGGGAACTACTCTTTTTTTGGCGGCTGAAGATCCAGAGGACACATTTTCTCCAAAGAGAGACAAGAATCAGTCCTCGATCCATGCAAACTCGAATCCATTCCGCGGTTCGGGGGCTCTACAGATGCAAATGCACAGGACAATGTACTATACATACATCCATGTACATGTACAGTACATGCACCTTGCTTCGTATGTTGGCATCCCAGCCTAAAAGGAATATGCTGAGGGCACTGGGCAACGCTGTATAACACATCCCCTGGGCTATCCGCAAATCGGCGGGACAGCCGGTGACAAAAAGTAACTTGAAAAGGAAGTTTTGATGATTAGATAGCGGAAAGGCTTTCAAGCCTTGGTGTTTCTTTCTTCCTTCTTCAACAATCATGTTTTATGTGGTAGATAAATGGTGTGGATGTTGATCGTCTTGATTCTTCACAATTGGGCCTGGTTTGGTTCGTGCCATTGGTTAATTAATTGTACCTAGTTAGTTAACTGTATCTCCAGGGCAGCCAGCCGCCAGCTCCGGGGGACGTTATTGGCTTGGCCCAGCTACGGTACTCGCCCAGCTCGCCCAGAAGTTAGCACCTCCCGCCACCCAGTCACCCCAGATGTCACCCCGAAGTCACCGCCGCTGCCGCTGTAGCGTGTGATTCTAGCGGCCAGGTCCCCGGCAGAAGCTTCCCACTTAGGGCTAGTGTGGGGAAGAAACGACATGGAACCCGCAGCGTGGGCCGCAGAGGCTCGTTATCGCCGCTATCTCGGGACTACTGTAGCTTTGTACCGAGTGGCCCGCCACCGCTCCCCTCGACCCTCGACTGCTAGTCCGCTGTAAGTACTCCGTAGTTGTCACGGATGCATCTCATAACAGACCAGCATTCGCCTTGCTGACCCGGGGCTGCTGATCGTGCGACTTTGGCCCTAGCACTTGATGCACAACCGCACCGCAACAGCGCAGCAGCAGAAACTCCCGTCCAAGGCCAAGACGGACTACTGCATCCCCAGCAAAGAAGCGAGGGCGAAGGAAAGAGCCAAATCCTGGCTTATTGCCGGTGGTTCGCAGTTCGAGTTGAGAAGGAGACTTGTTCTGTGCTTTCTTATCCCTAAGCAGCCATGCTTTCCACAGCTATCCACAATGGCGTAACCAAACAGGTTACAAAACCCAAGTTGAAGTCCCATTCCGAACACCTCATGAAGCGCGTCTCGAGAGCGTGTTTGCACTGTCGCCAGCGCAAATCTAGATGCGACTTGTAAGTACGATGGGAGTCTCCAGAATTCAATTCGGGTGGAATAGGCGACCCCTTGTTTCTCGCTATCCACACAAAATACCCCGCGAGAACGGGCAGATCTTCCACAAAGGGAGATTGCTCTTACGGACGAACCGATGTCTGACTGACTCTTATATTTGGCATCTAGGGATAGTAGTGGAAGTCCGGGCACTCCGCCTTGTCAGCGTTGTCTACGAGACCATCGTGAATGCGTCCTAGGTAGCTCAAACAGAGGGGGTCGCCGTATCCGCAAGCCAAAAACTGCCAATCTTGACATACATTCCAATTCCTCACCGGCCAGGGTGATGCAGCTTGCTCCGAGCGGTGCCCCCGGCCCGACGGACCCCCATTCGTTCCCGCGGCCATATTCATCAGATCACTATGGGAGATCGGATCCACCCACTGCATCTACGATCAATATAGAGGACGACGATTCATCTTCAACTACTGACAGCGCAATCGGATCCGTTCCACGGAACCCGTCTGACGCATGGCAATGTTTGACAAACGTTGCCAAGCGAGGCGCAGAAAGCGCAAATCTTGAGAAAACGGGAGATCATTATTCCGAATCAAAAAGCCGTGTTCGACTTCCCGGGGTTGAAGACGAGGAGTCTGAACCAGGAATCAAGGCGTATCGGCTTATCAAGAATAGGTCTCTCACCCGTGAAACCGTTTCCCAGCTGGTGACGCGCTACGCCGCCAATTTCCATCCTTATCTCCCCCTTGTTCCACGAAAGTATTTTGATCCATCTGCCCTGGAATCATTTGCGTCCCAGGAGAAGCATCTTCTGACTGCGGTCCTCACCATTGCCTCAAAGGACCTTGTGGAAACGCCTCAGGTTCATGAGGTTTGCTCCAAGTACATGCACGAGCTCATTTCTGGCATCGCTGCTGGCGCAGATTGCGATGTCGAAGCGGTCGAGGCACTGCTCATCCTTGCCGAATGGGAGCCCCAGGGCCTACGGCCAAAGATTGAAGCTGTAGGGCGAGGAGAGGAAGACAGAGCGGCATGGATGCATGTTGGACTGGCTCTCCGCTCTGGATATTTCCTTGGACTTGATCGGACTTCTTTTAGAGGCGATCCAGTAAACGACACACAAAACGACGGGCGGAAGCGATTGGCATGGACCAGCTGCTATATTTCAGATAGGTTGATATCCGTTCGCATCGGTCGAGCATTTTGGTCTCGGGGCCCTGGCCCTATGACTGGGCTTGTCTCTAAAGACTTCCCATCTCTACAGCCTCTCACCTCAACGGATGAAGATTATGCGAAGATTTTCCAGGCACTCTTGGATCTCACACAACTGTACGGAAACGTCCATGATGTCCTCTACTCGGGAATGCGCACGAGCAGTCAGATGATGTTAATGGGGGACTATGTGAAATACGTTGATGACTTCCGCAATGCCATTGAGCGCTGGAATCGAAACTGGGGTACATTGACTTGTATGTCTACCATGACAGCACCAGGCTGATTCTTTATTTCTTTGCTTATACAAGCGATCTACAGGCTCTCAACACATCAAAGTAACTCTGCAGATGTCTTACGAATATCTGAGGCTGTACACAAACGCGTTTGCCTTCCAAGCGGCGATTTCTCAAGCACTCACATCCAAACCCAAAGGAGATGCTCCTAGCCAGCGAGAGCACCTACGGGCAGCATTTAGCAATGTTGCATCCATGCAAGACGCCCGTTTTATATATGCATCAGTTGATGCGGCGAAGTCCTATCTCACAATCTTGAATAACTACGTTGATCCCGAGAAACATTTACATTTCATGCCCTTACGATATTATCTGTAGGCATACCCTCCTTGCCATTTGGTTGTTGAGATATTTCCTACTGACAGCTCCTTAAATTGCCAGGTATAGCATTTATGCCGCAGTATTTTTATACAAGGTATATGAATTTTGAACAATCCTTACTTTCCTTTTGGGAGGTAGATTAGATCTGGCTTGTTAACATGTTTAACCTAGGCCCGCTCATTTGGAGTAATGAATGCTCCAGAGGAGCAAGCCGTTCGGCATCTGATAAACCTTACCACAGACAGACTCCACAGAGCGAGTGCTGGTCCCGATGACATCGGCTCCCGATATGCTCGATTGCTCGAACTTCTGTGGAAACCCAAGGCATCGTCATCGTCATCGAATACTCAAGAGCATCAGCGCAAGGATGAAAGTGTCCCGACAGGAACAGTCCCAAATAGGCTGCCAGAACAGCCCTATATACAGTATTCACCAATGAACGATTTCTCATGGTTGGATCTCGAGGCTGTAGGTGACTATGTCTCTGGATATCCAATGGGGAATCCCACCTTCATGGGCATGAATTCGTTTCCGCATCATAATCCATATCCGGTAACCTCAGAGGCGATTTGGCCCGTTCAAAATTGGCCGGTCGATCTTAACGGCAACTTATTATTTTGACCTCCTGTTTGTCTTGTGGAGGCATTTTATTTTGTCCAAGAGTGCTTACTCTGAACAGTTCGAGTTTAGTATATGAGGTGCCTAACCCTGGCCAAAGTACAAGCGGGCGGTCTCCTGAAGTTCCTCTTTGGGAAACTTGCGGTGTGAAGATTACGTCACCACTTAAAAAAAACTGAACAGCTTAACTATTGCAACCAAACCATGACGAGACGTGCTACGATTTGTTTGTAGTGCATATCCTCTAAACCAAATGTTTGCAAATGTTCTTATCTATCTCGACCCAAACGCCACTCAAAGTAAATGGAACAACCCGTTAATGAAATCGAAGGCCGTCTGGCTCTCATAACTAGAGCATCTTAAGGGTCAGCTGCTCCACGCTAAGCTTCAAATTGTTCAGCGGGAGACAACTCTACGCCAGTTGGTATATTGATGCGCAGAAATCTTTCGGTTTCAGAATAGGGGCAGCATTTGCTCGTAGACTTGCCACAAGGGGCATGCATCTCGCCTTAACCTACTCCAAAAACCTCGATGCGATGCGCGCGGTGCTTGACTCCATCAAACAGCAAAGGAACCAATCCACAGGACCACCCCCACGCATTTCAATACATCAAGTTGGCGTTGGCGTCCCCGAACAGATCAGTCGCATGTTCCACGAGATTGACCAAGCGCACAAACAACTTCCAGACATCTTGGTGTCAAATGCCGGATACGGCAGGCGCATCCCACAAATATGGGATATATCGTTGGAGGAATTTGATTACACACTCAATGTAAATTTGCGGGCGTCATCTATTCTTATAAAGGGGGTAGTGGAGCGGATGAAGGAACAGCGATGGGGACGGATTGTGTTTAGGTCTTCCATAGCAGGATATGGAGGGGGGATTAACGGATGTCGTATGTTTGCCAAATCCGGGTTTCTTTTATTGCTTTGTTTCCCTCTTTATTTGTTTCTCATCATGTTTGGCATATTCGCTAACCAGTTTCATAACACAACGAATAGACTACGCAGCGTCCAAAAGGGTGGCATGACTGGCATGATGAAAAATCTTTCCACACGTCTAGCCGAATATAATATCAGTGTCAATGACGTTGCACCCGCTATGATTGGCGAAACGGGCATGATACCCAACGCCCAGGCCTTTCCGGAAGTCGCAGCGGGTATCCCATTAGGCCGATTAGGAACTCCAGAGGAGGTTGCAAATGTGGTGGAGATGTGTGTGCAGACGGGCTATTTAACAGGGCAGAGTGTGTTGCTGGCTGGGGGTCTGAAATAAAGATGAAGAGTTATAGGGCGATCCCCCTCCAGCCGTGATTTTCATGTTCATCATTCGCACATTAGGACTGCTTGTGAGGTATATGCTCATAGATGGGAGGCTATTTGATACTCATGTTTTCATGTTACAGATTTTTGCTACCTAAGCACAAGCAGTTGCATTCGATAACAGGCTCGAAGAAACTGCTTTTTATGATGGCATGCTAGATAAACATTCCCATGTTCACATAGCCCAGATAGCATTTCAAATGCTAAACTACCTACAAGCATATATGTCCAATCAGAAGTTAGACTGTAACTCAAAATTTCATGACTCCTCAACAAGCGATACATCCCATCATTAAGAAGTTACCTCTATCTCTCAAACCTAGTTCCGGAAACAACTATAACTTTAACAACTGGCTTCCCCTGCTCATCCACCCCCTTTGCTGCTAACTCAAATGCCCTATCCCCTTCTTCGAACCGCACGAAATGCGTTGCTACCTTCTCCGCCACTCCCTGGAATTTCTCGCTGCCCATCAAGGCCACTGCATCCGGATACCCCCGAGTAGCATACCGAAATACACCAATGAGATCGACTTCGCGCAGCGCTGCTGCCGACAGGGGTATGTTAGGCTGCGCCGCGCCGCCCATTCCAATCTGCACGACCGCTCCGCCCGGGCCAGTAGCATAGATCCCCATGCGTATGCAGCTAGCAACGCCCGTGCAGTCATATGTACGACTGAAACCATTGGGGAGGCAGAACGCGGATAGGATCTGCTGAGCCAGGTCCGCTTCTGCTTCTGCTTGTGGGGTGGCCTCCGAGGCTGGTTTGGGGAGTAGATATGTGCGGATCTTCTCCAGAGGGAAGGGGAGGGACGCAGCGATCCTCAGTCTTGCTTCGTCGATATCGGCGACAACGAGGGTGGAGAAATGCTGCGTCGCAGCCAGTGCAGCGGTGAGGAGCATGCCGATGGCCCCTGCGCCAAAGATCAGTGCGGCCGTTTCTTCGGGGACTCGAGTTGCGGACAGCGCCCGGGCCACAGACTCCGCATCGGGGGGGTTCGAACGGCGTATCGCATGCATACATACCGCCAGCGGCTCAATCAGCGCGCTCTGCACGTCGCTGATGTGAGCGGGAAGCTTATGGCATTTATCGAAGGGGTGGTTTGTCAGTTCCATCAGCGTGCCGTCCAGGTGCGGGAAGGTCTTTGCGGAGCTCCTGAAGCGCAGGCTGCGGCAGATATTGTAACGGCCTTCTATGCAGAGACCGCAGCTTGTACATGGAAAACCGACCTCGAGAGCCACGCGGTCACCGACCTGGAAGTCCTCCACGTCGGTTCCGACGGCGGTAATGGTGCCCGCTGATTCGTGGCCTAAACAAAGCGGGGCTCTCATGATAAAGTCTCCATTCCGCCCATGCTGATAGTAATGCAGGTCCGAGCCACAGAGGCCGGTAACACGGATGGCGATTTGCAGTTCGCCGGACTGGGGTGCTGAAGCTTGGCGAACCTCCTTGGGGGAAAGTTAGCAAAGTACTGTTTGCTCTCGTTTATGTGGAGGCGGATATGATATGGAGTGGGGGGTGGGCATCAAAGGACGTATCTGGGCAGTTGAGCAGACGTGAACGTATATGGAACATACATACTAATCGGAGGTCTTTAGCTCCATGAAGCACAAGGGCGCGGAAGTGTTGAGGATTGGGGCTGGACATCGGTAGAAAATTCTGCCTGTAGTTTTATTGCTCCCGCAATGACAGCGAATGAAGAAATGTGTCAGTGGCCACTAAGTTCTGTCTTTCAAGCCTGCGGTGTCATCCGCAAGGAGGCTTGCACCTTATGTATATCAAATCAATCCCTGATTGAGGAGACCGGCATATCGCCGAAGAGCAAATAGCAAATTCCGGGCATACCTCACCCAGTGAGTAGAACTCATAAGCCAAATAATACGGATGATGGCCTGACAGTTCCGACTTCCGCTCCGTCCATTCGGAAGAGTCTGGTTGCACAAAAACGTGTCTGGAACCAGCCAACACGGGCCAACACGAGGTTGTAGACAAAGAAACTCAGGAAACAGAATCTTCAGCACCAAAACAGCCCCACCAAACTAGTTGATATACGCTTCAGGGAAAGGAAAAGGGCCACAGCTGGCAAGCGGTTTACTAACATCTATTCTCTCTCTTTATTATGGAACAACCACCAATCATAATGTTTGAGATAGAATCACTATATACAATTTCATTTATAATCATTTCTCTATCATTTTGAAAAATTAATTTTTCAATTTTTTATTGATTGAATTAATTTTTATGATCAAAAATATTGTGATGGGTTAATGTTAGTAGTTAGTTTACACAATCAACCCCTCGCGATTCCACTATGCATTTGTATAGTCTCTAACAATTCTTTCACATAACTCTAACATTCTGTCGGAACGGTGGTTAAACGTTCAAATATCATTTCAATTTACTGAATATCAATATAAAAGAATGAATTAGATTCAACTGATTTATCTATCTAGAATTTGATAATTACAGAGAAAAGTAGACAATATTTATAAGCATAAGAAAGTTTGATTACCTGAGTCGAATGCGATACAAGCATATAACCCCAGCACTCATTGTGCAGGCCCCAAGATCAAAAATTTTCTCCTTTCACACAAGCCAAACAACTGCTTCTTTGAACTTTCTTATGCAAAAATGCCTTAAAGTATTCTCAACTCGTTGCTCATCAAGACTATTGTTAAAAATGGAAAAAATCTGGATGTGAAATATGCTACTCAGATGACTGCATGGGCTCGACTGCTTTTAGCAAAAAATGTACAGCAGGACTTTGTCAAAGCCATTGAGAAGACAAATGTTTCCGAGGAAGCTGCCAGTGCCACCCTAGTGTGAGTGATGCACTTTTCCATTTCAGCTGATGATGATTATGCAGTAACAACAAGATTAGTGAGACCAAGCACCCTAGTGAAAGTGATAGCAAGGATCACTTCACCACTGTTTATGAAGATGAAAATGGAGATCACATCACTACCAAGCACATTTATCCTTGAGTCAAGAGCGACGTATGAAGAGCGGCTGAGTAGACACAGCGTGGAATTTAACAGAAGACTGGATGGCTGTGTGGAGTGAATAGATGAGTTTAGCATGGCAGTTGAGCTTTTTTGTTAGAGAATTAGAGGATGCTTGTCCTGAATGAAATATTAGATCCTTTCTACATTACAACTGATTAAGATTGGAAACAATTGTGAGATTAACATCCATGAACTAGATTTTTCTTATTTTTTTTTTTTTATAGCTATGCTGCGCTTCATGTGTGGTTATTGTTGACAATGGAGTAGATAGGCTATTACATGTTCCACCAGGGATCTTTCATAAGTTCTTCCATAGTAGCTCGCTTCAATGAACTGAGTTTGTCATTCTCCAGAGAAATCTTTTTGTCTCAGAGTCAAGATTAAGATAATCCTTCTCCTTCCACTTCTTAAAATGCCCAGGTCTAACTAGGCCTCCATTAAATGTCCCTTCTTATATAGTCATTATGATTTGAACACAGTTCTCATTATTGACATGAGTCACAAGTTCATCTGAGACCAGCTCAAAAAAAAGATATTAATCGATCCATAATCTTCAGTTCAGGTTCAATCATGTCTCTCTTTAACTGCTTGAAATCCGGGTGCAGAGTTTCCACATCGGTGATTGGTGTACAGACACTATTAGTAGACAAACTATCTTCAGCAAAAATACATCAATTGAAAGCATAAGCTCACTCACCACAAGCTCATAAAAGAATACATCCAACGATTTGCCAATCCCCTGCCTGCACCACATGACATTTCCTATTTTGACTCCGTCTGGGAGCCGAAGAAGTTTGTCGCCTTTTAGCTTCAAGGAGCAGTCTAGATCACCTAGCACAACCCTTTCCGGTGCAGCCTGATTGTAACGGTAATCAACCATAACATTATCAGACTTGACATTTAAAAGAGGGAACTTGGTTAGTGCCTGGATCTGATGAGCAGGCTGATGTATATTACCAATATATATCCAGTTCTTGACATGAAACTCCTGTAACACCTGCCCAAGTTCCCACAATATCCATTTCTGAGGTGCAATTGGCATGTTTGGATTGTACTTCACAAGAGAAAGCAAATTATCACTAAAGTGATTGTAGATAAGGATTCACTCAGCTTCATTATCATACACTTGAAGATGATGCATTTCTAAAAACTCTTGCTTAAGTTCCAACAATTGTTTGAAGATTGAAGGGGATATGTGTTTTAGTACAAAGTATTGGTTTCCGCACCTAAATCTTCCAGACAGTAACCAGATAGATTCATGCAATTTGAGATGTATGATTCACCGTGCAAAATAGACACTGAGATCTGGACTTTTTAAATTGTGCTTGAGGATCTTGTCTCAAAGATACTCTCGATCAGAGTGGCCGATCAATGTCGAAGCCATTCTCACACCTTGAATACAACAAGAGCCCACAAATAACATAACTCTAGTCATAAAGCTCGCTCATTCTTCCCCACTCTCTGGGAGGCTTGCGAGTCGAACTACAGAGGTCTGTTAGTGGGTACTACGGCTATATCTTATTGTGGCGGACGTAAAGCTTGCAAAAACAGAATTTTCTGCCACCCCCTGAAAAATATTAGCAAAACACCGCAAAAATAACCAAAATATCCACGTATCTCTAGAATCATTCAAATATCATCCAATTCATTCAAATACACACCTTTATCATCAAATCTGTCAATATACCCTTCTAGCTCAGTGAATTTACCACCAATGAGATTGTACACCTTCTAAACAATAGTTATATATCTGCTCAGATTGTGCAGACCATTGAATGCCATCTGACCATTTTATATTAAATTTAATGAAATATTTGCTGTTTTGAAACTGCTAAAAGTCCTTATTCAATATAAGATGTAAAGTTAAAGATCACACTGAATATTTTATCAGATTTGAAGAACTTTTTTGAGACATATTCAACTGCATATCATGATGAAATTGTCTACTTTATGAAGGATAAATTTGATGTTGATATCCACTCTTGATCAATATCTAGATTGTTGAAGAAACTGAATTTGATATAGAAGAAGATAATTAATTATTGCAATTATCATTTATAAAATCTGTTAATTTATCAATTCTATTTAATATAGATTGAATCTGTAATCAATCAATACAATGAAGAATTTTAAACTGAATGATGTATTCAAATTATTCAATATAAATCTGATCAATTTATCTTTTAAAATGAAAGTGTTGTGAATGAACATGCTGCAGATTGATGATATGAATGATCAAATAGAGAATTTCTTTATCACATTAAAAGACTTTGTAAACAATTTCACAGATGATCAATCTTATCTGCATTAAATGTTAATGAGTATCTTAATTATGATATATATCAAAGGTTTTATAATACAGAGAGGTTCAATAAGTTTGTATATATTCAGATATTGTTTAAATGTTAGTAAAATTATCATTATTTAATAATGAATAATTGCTCTTCTCATCATTCGCAAGCATTGTGAGATCTCTGTAAAGAAATTGATATTGAATTTTTATTCTTATCTTCATATTCTTCTGATTATAATTCTATAAAGAAGTCATTTCATGCATTGAAAAAATGAATTAGAAGATATAGATGTCAGTTAAAAAATCAATTTGATGAAGATTTTGAAATCTTTTTACATCATACAATTGAGAATTTCATGAAAGAAAAAGATGCAAGAGAATATTTCAAATCTGCTCATATAAAATAATATTGTAAAATTTAAAAAAATTCAAATTGCAATTCAATTATGATAATATATAATATCTAAATTTCAAATTCAGAAGTAGAAGCAGTATGAGATTTGCTGTCATCATTATAAACAATAAATAAAAATAATTTAATCTTCTTCAATTGTGATTGTCAGATAGAATTTTTTAACCCATTTCTTACTATTGAAAATATATTCATTTCAATATTCAACTGAATTATCTGTTTATTTGTCATTGTCTGTATATGATTCAGTTCAAATTTTTCATTTTAAATAATACTTTTTACAATTAAAAAAGCTTCTGCTTTCTGAAATTTTTCTATCATCAATCAATTAAAAAACTCATCAATAAACAGATCTGCATGTTCATAAAACTGAGAAATTGAATTATTTCGAATAAAAGACAAATTTGAATTCAATGATAAATTCAAATTCAATGACAGATTTGAATTCAATAACAAATTTGAATTCAATGACAGATTCAGATTTAATGATAGATTCGAATTCAATGACAGATTTGAATTCAATGACAAATTTAAATTACAAGTGACAAGTTTAAATTTGATGATAAGTTTGAATTGATAACG